CCTGCGCAAACCTTCGAAAATAAAATATACTGATAACATCACGAACAAGGGCTGAAGCTTGATCTTCAATTTCCTTTCTCCTAGATTCATTAGTAATAGTGCGATATTGGTCCATGGTGTTAATAAGTCGCGTTTTGCAATGATTTATAAACTGATGTTCTGGTTCTGTAAATGCCAAGCTCCCGAGAATAGCATAGGCCTGTAGTCGTATTTTTATTAAAATTGATTTCTTAATGTCGTTGCTACCTGATTTTGTATTAGTTAATGATTTGTCTAATAACGGTTTTAAGTCATTCATTATTTCCTTTTCAAAACAGGAGTTTTCGGAGTTTAAACATTCATCGAATGTTTGAATAATTGTATCAATTACTAAACGTTTTAAAACCTCCTTTTCGAGTTGCGGACCTTCTTCATTGGTGTCTTTAGTACACTTATAGCGGCGAAAGAGATTTGAAACATTATCTGAATGTATTTGGACATCCTTTTTCAAATGAGTAACAAACTTAGAAACTCTATCGTACAGATCACTAATGTCCTTGTTTAAATGAACAGAGTTATTTTGATCATCGTCAGCAAATCGATATCTAGTCGCACCACCTATTTTAACCTGGTATTCCGAGTTTTCTTCTTTCAATTTATTATTCAATTTCTTTAGTCCCATATTTTCTTTTCGCAATCGATCTAATTCTGTTTCTTTATCCTGCTCACCTACACTGGGATTTAATTTATCTTTGACATTTTGAAATTCATTCTCAATAATATTTCTAAGTTCATTTAAAGGGGTGCTATTCTGGTTCTTCAATTCTTTGAATAGGATGTAAAATTCCTTATATTGATTTTCGACACTTTCCTTTATTTGCGTAGTTATAAAATCCTTAATATTTCGAAGTTCACCTTCAACATTGCACGAAGGTTCTGATGAGGACCCTTTCAGTATCCTTAATTCATCTTTTATTTCTGTCAACTGATTTTGGAATTTCTTATTTTCATCAAGCAAGTTTTGAACATTTCCGTTCAGGCTCTCAAATTTATCTTGCGCATTTTTTAATAATTCTTGGAATTGATTTTCAGCTCCAAGATCAGTCATTTGAACGTCTCCGTCAGGATCTTGAGTTTGGCCCATTTTTTTAAAAAATTTCAA